AATAGTAATAAAAATAATAAAAATCTGATAATAATAATGATAATACGGGTTATAGTAATAATGATTTTAATAATAATGATAATAATAATAATAAAACAACCAACATTTCCTTCCTTACTGTAAAACAATTAGAAGTCCTATACATTCCACTAGAGATGAATACAACGATGTTGACCGCCATTTACCAAGGGAAATGATCAAATGTGAGGCAGCGTTGTGGAATCAGGCTCTCGTCAAAATAACCAAAGTAGAGAAACTTGCATTTTTCCACATGTTTGTGAATTTTTATCTAATTTTTGTTTTTTGGCAAAACACCTTTCATGCAAATTAAAGAACCAATTTCTGTGTAGATTTCCTGAAAAACATTGATTAAAAGCACACAAAAAAGTAAATTTTCAGTTACCACGGACTCATATGCTAAGGAATTAACTAATCCTTGGCGGCCATTTTCTCACTAATTTTACCTCTGAAAACAAGCAACCCCCACCTCATTGGTTCGCAAATATCTCGACTTGTATTCAACATAAATGGATTTTTTTCCATCCAAATAAAGACAACTGAACAAGCTTTAAGATGAGACCAATAACTCAACAGGCCCAAAAATTGCCGAGAGCCTGATTCCACCACGCTGCCTCACAAATGTGATGCCGCAGAAATTTCTCAGCTAGACAGTCGTTTTAAAGCAAGAGAATATTCATATAAACATAAGCTACTGAAATCACGCCTGAACTCTAGAAGAAAAATTGACGGCTGATCCAGAAAATAAATATTTGTGGCAGGCGATTGCAAAGTCCAAAAACGAATTGGAAATTGATGAGTTAAAAAAAGACCGGGGTGGCTCAGTTGAGAGCGGGTTTTAAATAGGTAGAGGGGACTGAAAGCTATCTCGCTTATTAGTGAAAAATGGTGAAATGGTATAGGTTTAACGGCCCTGTCAACACTGTTAGGTTATTTAAGGGGCGGGACCTCCGAGTTTAACGTCCGTCTCCCATAGGACCGAGCCAAGTGGGAATTTCGTATATAGTGTCTTTCCCAGGGACACAACGTCGGACTGAGCTGAGGCTCGAACCTCTGAACTCACAATCTCACAATTACGAGTCCGGTAGCCTAACCACTAGGCCACCGACGCCACGCTTATTAGTGAACTATATTTTACCAAATTTCACACATTAAACAAGCATAGTAAGGAGTCTTAAAATCCGCAATCAAATTTGAGGAAAAAAAGTGTCGTTTCCATGGATATGGCGGCCATATTGGATTTTGCACTTATGGCTCATGGAAATTGATTATTTTATTGTTGTTGTTGTTGGGTTTTTTTGGGTTTTTTTTT